TCCACCACCACCTGGAGGACCCTACTCTCCCTATGGCTGAGCGCCTCCAGCTCATCCTTTCCACCCTTTCCCGGGCACGCAGCCGCCCCGGTCACGCTGGCGCGTCGCCCCCCGAGGTCCCTCAGGAGGACCTCCCTCAGGGCTTTGTCCCTCCTCGCTGTGTCCTTTCCGCTGAGGAGCGCGGGGCTATTATGGGCCGGCGTGGGTGTTTGCGCTGCCGCTTGGACGGTCATACCTCCTCGCGGTGCCCTTACACTACTGCCCTCGACCGCCACTATGCTGACCTCTCCCGCCAGCATCGTGCTCAGTCTCCCCCCGGCGCCTCGCATCCCCACGGCGCCTTCTAGCCACGGTGCAGTGTACACCTGCGCCCTCCTTAGTAGTGGGTTTCCCGACATCTCCGTCGCGGTGTGAGGGAACCCGGGGAGGGGTCGCCTGCCGCTCGCTGAAGCCAAGGGCAACAACCCCTGTCACTCGCTGCGCCCGCTTCCGAGGTCCTCAGCGACCAGCAGGGGAGTGGGGGGGGTTGAAATGCCTGCTGCGAATGCACTATGCGAATGATCTCCTAATGATTAGAGAGTCCTTGATCAACCAATGAGTGGCCATTGCCTGATCGGCCAATGGGAAGAGAGTGCACGACCAGCCAATGAGTGACTGCTATTTGATTAGCCAATGAGTAGGTGTTGCCTGATCTCCCAATCAAAGGCCGCTACCTGATCTGCGAATGAGAGGCTGCTGCCTAACCCGCCAATGAGCGGCTGCTGCCTGACCCGCCAATGAGAGGCTGCTGCCTGAAGTGATCTGCACTATCATTTACTCTCTTTTCACCCTCACTTACCTGTGCCGTCTCTCTCGCCGCTCTGGAAGCTGAGTAACGAGATCCACTTCGAAATCATATGATAAAAGTGTGATCCTTGAGATAAATAAATAAATAAACAAATAAATAAATAAATAATTTCAGGGAGAGTAATTAGCGAGCCAGTCCGCTGGCTTGGTTCCAAGCGAACCAGTCAAGAGTGAGCTGCAAACTGCAGATTCAGTTTCAAACACACCAATCAAGTGTAAACAGTGTGTCAACTCACGGGCTCTGTTCCAGGTATTCCAGGGAGAGCCCACTGCAATAGGCATCTTCACGCCTTCTCTTCTCTCCCAGATACTACCCTCGGGTTCTCATTCAATCCACATGTTCCCAGTCTCCCCATCCAACCGTTCAACCTCACTGGAAATGGAAAATACCCCATTTTTTATCAAAGTGGCACATGTGGGATCGAGCGCTATGATGTCGCGGCATTCCCAAAATCGAAATCCCAACGGTCAATACCTTTCTTTTCAAGTCCCCCTTAACTGCGCGAAACCCGATCTTCATTTGGAAGCTCAGGCTACAAGTCACGAGCGTTTGTTATACATCATCTTGAGTTTCAACCAAAACTCTACTCGTTTTCTGAGAACTTACAGCAAATAACTTTTAGATAGGTCAATTGAAGTGACCAGACTTCTTACTCTGCAGCCTCTCTCTCTCTCTCTCTCTCTCTCTCTCACACACACACACACACACACACACACACACACACTGCGCAGTCTCTCTCTCACTGCACTCACTGTACAGTCCCTCTCTCACACACTCTGTCACACTTTCTCTCTCACTGTCACACTCTCCCTCTCTCAGACACTCTCTCACTGTCACACTCTCCCTCTCTCACACACTCTGCGCAGTCTCTCTCTCACTCTCTCCCACTGTGTGGTCTCCCTCTCACTCACTCTGTTGTGTTGTCAGTCCCCCTCTCTCTCTCTCTGCTGTGCTGTCATTCCCCCCCCCTCTCTCTCTTTGCTGATCACAGCCTCAATAGTCTGCGCTTTCTGTTGTTCTTTCCTTCTCTCTCTCTCTCTCTCTCTCTCTCTCTCTCTCTCTCTCTCTCTCTCTCTCTCTCTCTCTCTCTCCACATACCTACAGTGTCTAGTCGATTATTGGTAGGGCATCCCCGGTTGGTCAAACAGGCAAGCGGCCTTGAAGCATTTCAAAGAGAAGCGGGGAAAAGAAAGAAGAGGAAGGGAGAAAAAAATAAAAAAATAAAAAAATAAAAATGAAAGGTGACTAATTTGTACTTGTCCTTTCCAGTCAGGGAGCGGTGCAGCGTCGTGCTATTCTTGAAGCCAGGGGCATTTTCGTAATTAGTCTCTGGGTCATTGCTAAGCAATCCCAATCGAACTTCCGGTCTTCACTGAGAAGCGTGAGTAGATTCAACTAGGTGCAAATTTGATCAATAACAGGATACGACTAGCTCCTCCATCAACGGATGGCATATCCCATCAACATTGAAATGTGGCTGTTCGTTTCCTCAGTGGACCAGCTATTCACATCAGTAGTGTAATCCGGTTGTTCCTCCCATTAGTGGAATCGCTATTAACATCAGTTGCGTAACCCGGCCGTTCATCCCATGAGCGGGATCACTATTCACATCAGCAGCGTAATCCGACCGTTCGTCCCTTCAGCAGGATCACTATTCACATCAGCAGTGTAATCCAGCGGTTTCTCCCATCAGCGGGGTCACTGTTCTCATCAGCAGTGTAGCCCAGCGGTTTCTCCCATCAGCGGGATCACTGTTCTCATCAACAGTGTAGCCCAGCGGTTTCTCCCATCAGCGGGATCACTGTTCTCATCAGCAGTGTAGCCCAGCGGTTTCTCCCTTCAGCGGGATCACCATCCTCATCAGCACATGCACTCCGTCTTGGTCTCTTTGTTGTACCAGCCGTGTCCGCCATGGCTGGAACCCGCCTGCTCATGCGAACGGGYACAATCCGTCCCGCTGCGGTCTCCCGTGGTCGCGGTCCAAACACTGCGTTCCCTCTGCGTTCCCTCCGGTTCCTCAGTCTCCGAATCTCCCTTTCTGGTCTCTCCTTCATGGGTGCATACCCATGGCTTTCACAGCCATGGCAGCACCAGCGAGCTACGTTCACGCTGGTCGCCCGCCCTTATGCGCCCCGTTCTCCCTGGTCGCGCCGTTACTCCATCCCCAAATGACCTGTTCTCCCTCTGGTCTCCCCGCTGCTGTGACAACGGTCGCCTTGGTCACTCCCACCAGTTCGCCCTGGTCCCCCTGGTCTCCGCAACTGCTCAATAGGCCCCGACACTTCACTGGCTTGACTATATGTGGTCTGCAGCCCGCACAGTGGTCTCAGCGGACAGGAGGCACTTGCAGTCTCAAGCACCGACACAATGGTTTCCACGTAAGGCCTGGCCACACTAGCGGTCCCGAACTACACCGGAGTACCGCATCAGGAAATAAGGAAATAACTGTGCCAGCTAAGTCCCGAACTATACCTGCGCCGTATCCGTTCCTGGAGAGATTGTACCGAGCCTCAGAGGCCTACAGACGTGCCAACCCACTAATTACACCAGATATAGTTGCCACAAACAATAAGGGTTTGTGTCGTCGCCATAACAATGCCGAACCTGGGAATTATCGGTTTAAGCTGTAGCAGCCTGTGTTGTCACCGTACAACACACTGTATCGTTACCGCACCAATGCAGAGCCTGAAGTAATCGCTTGGAGATGCTGTAACCCATATCGTGCCAATGCCGATCCAAGATCAAGCCTAAAAGTGATGCAGGGGCGTGTACCACGCCAATGCCGAACCAATACCGTACCTGAAATATGTCGAACATGACAAGATGCAGCGGCGCGGGAATAGTACCGAACCTGAAGTAAACCGCCTCAATGATCCCGGACCTGAAAATAAACTGCCGCCAAGGTTCCAAACCTGGAATAACTGTCGTAGTGGCCCCGGCCCTGAGAATAAATCACCGCAGCTGTCCCAAACCTGAAAATAAGTCACCGTAGTGAAACCGCTGTCACCGGGCCCATACCGTACCTGAAGCACATCAGACACCGTAGGACGTAGCCACTCCGTAACAACCCTCGTATCCGTACCGAACCAAACACCATAGTTGACCCAACGTAGCACCACCCCATGCTGTCCATGCGACTCCCGCTCTCAGAACATTTCAACTGCGGTAATGTTAGTAATCAAGCAAACCAGGGAAAGCGACACAAGGAACCTCGACCATCGATAGTAGTGAAAACTGTTAAAATCCGGGGAAGATGTTTAATCCGAGGTCAGAGCTGATGGCGGGTAATCGAGGCGAAATGAGGCCAATCTCCCAATAGTCATGGGTTCCCGTCCCTTTCATTGTTTTTCATCATTCTTCCATTTCCTTAATTCTATTGTCGGAAATAGTAAATTAATCGTAAGTTCTCCAAAATTAAATTCCGAGAAAGTTTAAATACATGGCCGAATTCCTTTTGTTTCTTTTCTCTTTTATCATTTTTAATCTTTTTCTATGTTTTTAATTTCATTGCCGGGAACATAAAATAACAAGGGTATTCCCCCTTGAATTAAATGCCGTGAAAAATAAAAAAATTAAGGGATATTATATTTTTTCCTTCTCCCCTACTGGTCTTAATCCCTTTTCCCCATCTTTAATTATGGTACTAAAATAGACAAAAATTTGAGGTCTCATTTCGGCCTCGGTCGTATGCCACAAAAACGTTGCGGCGAGGTCAGTTTCCGTGATGCCTCTCCGCGGCAGGCCAATCTGGGTCTAACCCTCTGAAAGGCCGGAAATGACGGTCCCTAGATGCGCCGAGTGCGGCCACCCATCTCGCCATCTTTGAGGGTTAATCGTAAGGTTCAGTGCGCCCAAAATCAGGGGTGCCCTGAGCTCCTCTAATTTCTGCTGCCTGATCATACCAGAGTACCGTCAAAACACAGACTTGTCCCTGAGCCTAAGCCCCAAAGCCGCAGATTTCAGGCGGCGCACTGCTTGTGGCCGCCTGACAGCGGTTCGCCCCTCTCGCTACTGGAGCCGAGGTATCGCACGACTCGGCAGAGTGTACTCAGCCCTCTGTCGCAGTACCGTCTGCGCCTCTACAGACCACCGTCTCCCCTCCTTCGCCGCCGCGACTACCGACGCGTCGAGCCATTCGCTCAGCCCGTTGTAACGAGCAGCTCGCTACTTGCGAGGACGTTGTGTCCTCTCTTCTGAACTTGAGCATGCTCCAGGCTCGTCAGGAGCGACTCACCCTCCATGTCGCCACCCTGCGTCGCCTTTCTCACCATCCTCTCTGACCCTGATCGCACCCTACCGATTATCCCCGTACGACTCGGAACCTCTACGAGGGTGTACTCAGCGCTGTGGGATTCCGGTTCTCAGGGCGACTTTATTCACCTACGCGTGGTGAAAGAAGCCCGCTTACCCACGACAGGGTCTCCGACTCCCATCTCCGTTACCCAAGGGGATGACAAGACCCAACGCTTCTTCGATCAGACGGTCACCGACCTCCCTTTCTTCCTCACTCTCGAGCCAAGTGATCGTTCCCCGGCGTCTCGTCGCCACCGCTCCTCTGCACATTTCGATGTGATGGAGACGGGGTACGACTTCATTCTCGGCACTCCGTGCTTCCACAGCACCGAGGCCGATTGTGCGACCAACACTCTCGTTCTCAAAACGAAGTGTGGACAGACGTATCGTGTACCTTTCATAGGTACCACCGCGACACCACGCCCTGATCCTCCTCCCCCGGAGCCTTCCGTGCCCACACCACCTCCTTCTATCACTGTCACCTCGCCTCGGCAGTTCGCCCACTTCATCCGACAGGACGACGTCACCTTCTTTATGGTGAACGTGACGGATCTCTTACACTATGATTCACCCTGTCCCGACGCCGAGGTCATCCCTCTGGAGCCAGATCCTCCTTCTATCTCCATGAATCTCATCTTTACTTTCGTCCCTCCATCGTCCGTCGAGTCCACCTCGCAGTCGCGCGCTGACGCCGACGCTGAGGAACTCGCACGATATACGGATGACGTGGAGCCCGCAGTTCGTGACCTCATCCGAGAGTACCACGACGTCTTCCCATCGTCGTTCTCGTACGCCGGCATCCCACCGATGCGTGACGTCGAGCACTCCATCCAACTTGTGTCTGACTATCGTGTTCACCATCAGGCACCCTATAGACTCCCGATCCTCGAGGCCACCATACTCAAGCGTCAGCTTGAGGAGCTCCTGAGACTGGGTTTCATTAAACCCAGCAACTCCCTGTGGGGTGCACCCGTCCTCTTTGCTCGCAAAGCGGATGGAACTCTTCGTCTCTGCATCGACTACCGCGGTCTCAACCGCTACACGGTTAAGAACAGCTACCCCATGCCTCGTTTCGATGAGTTGTTCGACCGCCTAGCAGGCAACCGCTTCTTTACGAAGATTGATTTTCGTAGCGGTTACCATCAGATCCACGTCGCTGCAACCGACCAGCTGAAGACAGCGTTCCGATCGCGCTTCGGCCACTATGAGTTTACGGTGATGCCATTCGGTCTCACCAACGCACCCGCCACCTTCCAGAGGGTGATGAACGACATCTTCAGGGATATCCTGGAGCAGTTCGTTCTCGTGTACCTCGACGATATCCTGGTCTACAGTCGTACCCTTGAGGAGCACCTCAGATACCTCCGCGACGTCCTTGACCGCTTGCGCAGACATGGCTTCTACGCCAAGCTGAGCAAGTGCCGCTTTGCCCAACACAAAGTGAATTTCTTAGGACACTACGTGTTTGACCAGGGTCTCCACATGGACGACGAGAAGATCACTGCTATGGCGGAGTGACCCGCCCCCACATCCGCCAAGCAGCTTCGCAAGTTCCTAGGCCTGACCAGCTACTATAGTAATTTCATCCGGGGATACGCTAGGTATTCCTACGTCCTTACCTCCACCCTCCTCCGGAAGAACCCACCCTGGGCTTGGACACCCCTCCACGAGGACGTCTTCCACGCCCTCAAGAAGGCGGTGACATGCGCACCGGTTCTTCACCTACCCGATTTTGACCGCCCTTTTACCCTTACCACCGATGCGTCAGACTTTGCTGTAGGAGCAGTGCTTTCTCAGGTCTTCCCCTCCTCTCCTGATTCCTCGCATCCTCATATCCCTCGCTTCCCACCACCTATCCCTCCCACTGCCTCCCGACTGACGCCTACTCGTCCCGCTACTTACGAGCCTTCTATTGACTATTCTCCTACCATCGCCGAGGACGGCACTGTCGAGTCTCGCTCAGGTGATTGTCCGATAGCCTCCTACTCCCGTCAGATCCTGCCCGCCGAGATAAACTACACCGCTGATGAATGTGAGGTTCTCGCAGTAGTTTATGCCACTCGGCACTGGCGTCACTACCTGCACGGGGCACCATTCACGGTGCGTAAGGACAACTCTGTTGTCCAGGCTTTTCTGACAAAACCGAAACTCACTCCTCGACAGGCTCGCTGGTGGCGCGACCTATCCGAGTTTAGTTTCACCACTGAGCACATCAAGGGTGAGACTAATCGAGTCGCAGATGCCTTATCCCGTCCCTCTGACCACAACCAGGAGCACATCCAGCTCTCTTCCATCTCGGTCACCMCCGTCCMCCMCTCGGTGATCGACGAGTTTCGCACTCAGTACCGCCACTGCCCCGACTATCGCGACATCCACGCGACCCTTCAGAGCGGCAAGGCCGTCCCGAACTACTCTCTCGGGGACAACGGTCTTGTGTACTGGCACGGTTCACAAGGCACCAGAGAGCCCGGTATTTGCGTTCCCTCCACTGGACAGGACAACTACGTGTCCGAGTAGTAGCAGAGTTCCATGACCAGGCAGCCGCCGGTCATATGGGCTTCCACAAGACGTTGGCTCGTGTGAGCCGCCTGTACGTCTGGCCGAAGCGCAAGGACTTTGTGAAGGACTACGTCGCAGAGTGTCCCACCTGTCAGGAGGTGAACAGTGCGAACCACTTGCCTTATGGTTTGCTCCAGCCTCTTCCTATCCCTTAGGGTCGTTGGCAGTCCATCTCGATGGACTTTATCGGTCCCCTTCGTCCTCAGACCCCTCGAGGTCATGATGCTATCCTGGTCGTCGTCGACCGCTTCACGAAGCGTGCATGCTTTGTTCCGTGCCGCTATGCCATCAGTGCACGTGAGGTCGCCGACATCGTATTTGACCGAGTCGTACGTGACCACAGCTTACCTCTGAGCATCATATCTGACCGTGACCCTCGCTTTACCAGCCGATTCTGGCGACGGTTCCACGAGGTTTACGGCACTCAGCTCCGCTTCTCCTCGTCCTACCATCCTCAAACTGATGGCCAGACCGAGATCACGAACAGGACTCTTGGAGATATTCTCCGAAAGATTGTTCGTGACGACCAGCAGTGGGATCTCCATCTTGCCCACGCGGAGATAGCCTACAACCACGCCGTCTCGCCATCCACGGGGATGTCGCCTTACTATTGCGACCTCGGCTACCACCCTCGTGTTCCCGCGGACTTCTTTCGACCGTCCCAGTTGCATCCCGACATGAGTTGTCCTGCGCTGGATGATTGGGTTGCACACATGACGTCGATCATGAAGACCGCACATGAGCACATAGCCGCTTCCCAGACTCGCATGGCAGCACGTGCGAACCGATTGAGGATGGATCATCCATTCAAAGTCGGTGATGATGTGCTTATCGACACTCGCCACTTACAGCTCGAAGCGGACACGCTTCGCAAGTTTTGGCGTCGCTTCTTTGGCCCATGCCGCATCCTCCAGGCCGTCAGTTCTGATACGGCATCCAGCCCGGTCAGCTTTCATGTGAAGCTGCCCGACTACCTACGCCAGACTCGTGTGCACGATGTCTACCACGTCTCGTTACTGCGTCCTTACCGCAGACCATCTGAGCATTTCGCTGGACGACCATACGAGCGCCCTCCACCCATCATGGTGGACGGCCACGAGGAGTTCCTCGTTTCAGACATCATTGGTCGCCGAGTCACCGACGACAACCATCCCCACGTCGAGTATCTCGTACGTTGGAAGGGTTACCCTGATGAGGAGGCTACCTGGGAGCCCCTCGAGCACTTGCAGCAAGCTCGCATGTTGGTGCGTGCCTATGACCGTGCTCGTCGTGTCGGGTTCACTGCTCCTCCTCAGCCCACTGACCCTCCTCCTTCTCCCCAAGCTGAGGAGACCGCTAAAGTCGAGCCTGCTCCATCTGAGGCTGACCTTTAGCAGCAGCCGGATGCTTCTGAGCGTCCACAACGCACTCGTCGTCATCCTGCTCGATACAACAATTGACTCTGACTTACCTTCCCACGTCTTTGACTTCTCAGTACTCCATCCACTCCAGTTTTGCTACTTCAGCTCGTCGACGTTGCGGCTCTTCCTCGACGACATTCTGGACTTCTCATTGCGGACGTCATCGGCAGCTTCATAGACTTCGTCACGATCAGCTCTGCCTACTTCAGACGTCATCACTCCCTTACCACTTTACCCTGTACAATACCCTGCTTGTGTCGCATGATGGTCTCCCTTTAGCCGGGTTCCTCTTAGTTGGGCTTTCCCTTGGTATACGTATAGGCATCGGGACCGTAGCATTGCTCTGGCTTCCCATCTTCCGGATCTAGCTCCGACTTCCCCACCTTAGGAGTCACCTGCATGATTCCCTTACCCATCATCTTTCTACCCTCTGCCGGCCCTCACGCCCTAGTTAGGCCGCCCCGCATGCTTCATCTAGGTGCGCCCAGTATACTAGGCTCCCTTGTTCCCTTGCATGGTCGACCCTCCATAGCGGTCACCCCTTAGTCGAGCTTTACCCGCCCTGATGGTCTATCTGTTAGGGTCATTGGTTCTGTTCGCTCCGAGTTCCCTACCCCCATTGAGCCTGATGACATGTGTCTCCCTGCTATCTATGTGTGGATGCCTTTAGGAGTTTTCGACCCCTAGGCTGCATTCGCCTCCCTCAGAGACCATCCCACCCTTTGGTTTGCGACACACTTCTCCTGTGAGATATGGTTGTTTTGTTGTTGCTCTGTTGCTCTCAGACTGAGGCTACTGCCTCCAACATTCTAGGATCTAGTTGTCATTACTTTCTGCTTTCCTAGGACATGTATGTTAGTTAGTTGCTTCTGATTTCCTAGAACATGTATGTTAGTTAGTTGCTTCTGCTTTCCTAGGACATGTATGGTAGTTAGTTGCTCCTGCTTTTACTTAAGTTGTTAGTTGTGACATTGCTGTTTTGTGACATTTTCTAACCTAGGTTGCATCGCATGGACTTTGTATGGAGCTCGCTCCGCATCCTAGACTACTCAGTTTTTCTTTTCTTTGGTAGAGTTCCGCTTCTTCGCGGAAGCGTGCTTGTATCTAGGCGATCCATCACATGCCGATGATCGTGTAGTGGACCTCTGGTGGGTCTGTGAGACCAGCCCCTTGGTCTGTTCTCACAGGCCTGTGTTCTATTCGGGGGCAGTCCAGTCCAGTCCAGGCCGGTGCCTCTGTTGGTACCAGCCAGTCCAGTCTAGTCTGTCAGTCCGCTGGGGTATACCCCAGCCATTGTCTGTTTTTCGGATCATTCTTGACTTGCACATCTTGGAGTACGTGCGTTGGAGTCTTGCGTGGGGAGTTGCGTTGTGCCATCTCGCTCCCCCCTTCTTCCTCCATCTCCATCTCTATTACTAGCGGAGCACCACACCTGATGGGTCCGCTACATCCTGCAAACCGGGCAAGGGGAGGACTGAGTGAGAGGGCTTGGAAGAGTGCTGCTAGATTGGTGGCAGGAGAGGTGGTACGATTACAACAAGAAGGAAAGGTAGTTAGTTGGGATACTGAGATCGAAGTGTTTGAAGGGATTCGGACTCCTCCAGTCATAGGGAAAAACTTATCTAGATACGGATGGCACGAGATGATAGAGTTGGTGACACGGATTAGAGATTAGGGACATTCGTACTTGCATCGGTGAGACAGATGGCGTGATGAGGAGTGGCTTGGACCTATGGTCGACTTATGTTCCGACGCGCGATTCAAATACCTATAAAGTGAGGAAGCTGACAGGGCCAAGAGAGACAGTTGTGGGATTCGATGTTCCTCTTCCGGTACACTTAGAGGAGATAGCGAGCGTACCGATTCGACACTTTGGTACTTGGTTGGCTAGGGGCGTCTTCCTGTACACGGTGATTTCAGAGGATAGAGGGTTTGATATCCCTCGGTGACTGGAAGAGATTGGGCATCTTGTGTTTGACAGAGCACGAGACCTAGAGATAGGGCTGACACTCGTCGGTGCTAGCAGGGACTGGTGGAAGTACGAAGTCTTAGCGGAATCGATAGTGAGACGACGACTGACGGGTTTTGCAGGAGAGAGGTCGTACACCGTCCGAGTCGTAATCGGGCTTCCGCACCCAGTCTATCACCCTGTAGAGAGCTAGAGGTTGGCTCTCCCTACGTTTGTCATAGAACAAACTTACGGGAGCATGGACTGTCTGACTAAAGCAGTTAACCACACGTTGTACGCGCTCTGGTTAGGGCTAGCGCCTCGATTCAAGGAGGCGTACTACGCGGTCTACGTAAGGTGGGGACAGTCGGACAAGGAGACGCTGAGAGACCTAATCGACGCTACTTGCTGGATAGATTGTTTGAGGCCTGCCGATCTGATCGACTATTGTCGAAGACACGTGGAGGACAGGTACGTTGGCTTGGAGGAGCTGAGGCATCTGTTTAGGGACCAGCGATAGGAGGCATGCCAGGTCGGACGACTACGGGGTTAATGTAAGCAGGCAATTAGTGAACGGAGGTTTCACAGTGACCGTTTTACTCAGAGCGCACATAAACGAGGATCTGACAGAGAAGGAGTGCCTTCGACGAGCCAGAGAATTCATACGTGAGTACCGGTCAGGCGTTCTCGTATGCGTGACCTTCCAGACAAAGTTAACGTACGAGGTGATGGTATGGTCGGCTGGATACATGCGCTGAGTTGTTATTTGACGAGACGGTGGTGTAAGCAAGAGGCAGAATATGATTCGAGTTGCTTTGTCATGACAGAGTGTGAGCTACCACTATATCAACATAGACCCCGAGCTTCGTACTATCTCCGGTGGGATCGCAGAGGTTGCGACTCCTGGAGGAGCGTGGATGATAGGAATCCTCCAGTGGTTGCTCCCGGGAGAGTGACGAGTCGTCCGCCTGCTGACGAGCGATATGAACCTTCCTTGCGACGACTCCCGTATGCTCGAGTTGTTTCTAGGCGCTTAGCACGTGACGGCGGGACACTACAAATTCTTCTGAGGGTGAGTATAGACGAGGAACTGTTGGACAGCGAGTTCAAAGAACTTATTGAGGATGTCATACGGGGACAGAGGTTAGGAGCACTGAAGGAGTTAACAACACAGAGTTGGATGGTGTATGAGGTGGTCATCTGCGTGAAGGGAAGAGTGCACTAAGAGATAGTTCGAGACGCGACAACCATGGAAGCTCATAATAAGATGTGCTAGGTGTTTGGGACTTAGAGAGAGATGGGTCATAGAGGATGGAAAATATGGATGAGAGAATAAAGAGAGTTAAGGATCATATCATGACCCGGTGGCAAAACAAGTCAAGGAGTTGGGCAACAAGATTATGGATTGCAGATCCAGCAAGAGTGATAGTGAGTTGCGTAGGATAGAGGCAGCGACGAGGGCGTTAGTGAAACTCTTTAGAGAGGACAGAGAATTCTTTAGAAGGTGGCGTCTAGATTTTTTGAAAAGCATAAAGGCGGGAGATCATAGTAGTGAGGAAGCAAAGCGGTCATTTAAGTCGACGGAAAGGACAGAGGAGTCGTCAGAGGCTACAGCGCCGAAAGAGAAGGAGAATGCCGAAGGAACGTCGAGACAATGAAATGAGACGATGAGCGGAACGAGTGAGTATACCAATGATAAGTTTTTCATGCATGTTGTAGGGAAGTTAGATGGATCGGTGACCTGTGTAGTGATACAATTAGATCATCTGGAGAGACTCAGCATAATCGAAGAAGCAAAATGCACTCGACAAGCGTTGAAGGAGCGCGAGTGACCGGACTCTGGTAGGAGAGGAGAGCGTGCGTCTGATTAAGTACGTAATATGCGCGTCTCCCTTCGATGAGCGGCCCTTGTGTAGGGTGTGGCGCAAGTCTCCTAAAGAGGCAGTGAGACTCCTAGAGAGTGAGGCGAAAGTGGTTGGAGAGTTAGCAGGGGTCATAGTAGACAGCTCCGTTCTCAGATTGCTCAAAGCTCACAACCGGTACTGGAACGAGTACATTAAGACCTTAGCGGATGTTGAAGATTTTGGGGATATAGACGACCTCGAAACGTTCTACATATTCTTAGAGGATTTTGCAGACAGAGTCCTGTTAGCCTTAGCGTTAATCGCGATGGAATGCTAGGTGGTTCATGGTGACGGATGAGAGATACCACTACCGGAGGCGGAGTTCGCGTGAAGAAGGTGGAAGTTTTCGGGATGGAGCGGACCCAGTAAACTTGACCTCGAGAAAGTGCTCCGAAGTTTGAGCGTGATTACCAGACGGGAAATCTTTCCCTACGAGGTAGTCAGATATCAGGAAGCAAACAGCGGTTGTGACAAAAATCAGTTTTATGTAATGACCGTATATTTTTCCGACTTAGAAGTATACCACGCAGGTATATATTTACCTAGGGAGCGCGAGGAGTTCTGTGTCTACACGAGGTGTTGGAGGATAGCCGCGTGGAAGTTGAGAGAATAAAGAGAGAGATTAGAGGACTTAGGAAAGACTGTTGAGGTCTGAGATGACATCTCGATTTTTGACGATCTGCCTAGACCGCCGATCCCGGACAGAGGACTGGAGCGGAACGGATGGGAGACATTAGTAGATTTTGCCAGGACAGTCAGGATGAAGGATGAGCCCAGGAAGTCGACAAGGAATGACTAGGATGAAGGCATGATCTGAGTGTGAATTACAGTCGAGAAGAGAGAGATTTCTTGTCAGAAACAGACCATCCGAGGAGAGACTAGCGACTATCTGTGGCCTTTTGAGTTCGCTAGGGAGGAGAGAAGTGATTTCATATGAGGTAGAGGGGTATGAGTTTATGGATAGCGGATGGGAGGAGATACGTCTATATGTGATGACTGCCAGGTTTATCCATTTAGACATATATGATGTGAGGATCTACCTGCCTACGGAGAGAGAAGTAGATCTTGTGTACGGTCGATGTTGGGAGCGTGCAGAAGAGATTGTAGAAGGCGAAAGAGATAGGTTACTATCATTAGGGAGAAACGTTAACTGGAACACGCGGATAATGATCTTTGAAGGAATTCATAAACCTTCAACTCCGTATCAG